CCGGATAAAGAGGGACATGCATGAGAGCAGCATTTGGGCACCCAGCAATTCCTCTGCCAAGACTGGCTTTTCAGACAAAGCCATCAACGATTTCAAAACCTGAACCTCAGCACATCCACTTCCTTCTGATATCAAAGGAAACTTCAAGTCTGAAACGGACTTGGCAAGCGTGTTATTAATAACTGTCATGCTTATTAACAAATTTAATCCGGCCTGCTGCAGAAATGAGTTGCAGCAATGTGACACAGTCTCCCGACACACTTCATTGATGTACATCTTAATCTGGCCCTGATTTTCCACACTGACATTCACGTTATCCAGGGTACATAAAGCCTTCTCCTTAACAGCTGGGTCACAAATGGGGATCGTGTTTCCGACAATGGAGAGGCAGGCCAAATGACTATTGATATCGTGGCTAAATGAAAACCCAGCATCCTTGGACTGAGCCGACAACATTTTACCCTGAATGAAAGGATAATTGGAGAGGTTTAGAACACACCTGCAATTCTTAAAGCTTTCAGCTCCCCACGTATTTTTATGTTCATATGGGAATGGACGTTGTTTTGTTGGGTGTGTTCGGTTAGCCTTGCCCCCTCCTGAGGGCCTGTCCTCAGTGCCACCGGGGGCCCCAGGTTCAGTCCAATCCCCATCCTCACTCCAGGGCCGAGCCATAGTTGTGAAATCAAACCAAATCTCGGGTTCTTCGTCATCCAGCTCCTGGTCATCGTCCCATTCCTCTTCCTCCTCCTCCAACTTCTCACTCTCATTTCTTCCTACGGTTAATTTGTAAACGCAGTAGCAGGCACCAGCCCCAATCATCAGTCCTGCAGCCATCCAACCCACTTCCCGAGCCCGGCCCATTCTCAAGTCTGTGCCAGCTTTGGGGCAGAAAAGAGAGGGCCTTCTTCCACCTGAATGAAGAGGAATCTTAGGGTCAGGATGAGTAATGGTGGAGAGCAGTGGTCTTCAGTCTCTCCCAGGCTCTTGCAGCTCTCTTCAGATGAATCTATGGGTGAAAAACAGTATTAGGGTTTTGAGTTGTGCCTGAGTTTGTGCCTCAGCAGACAGAGTGGAGTTTGAGTTCTGGTTGAGAGAGGTGGGTTATTAGGAAACTATTTCCTTGTTCCTTTCTGTCATCCTCTATCTACCCTCGGGATCCACCATTTGTCTTCCAGCACCCACAGAGAAGGACAAGTGTTGGGATGTGGTATGATAGCCAGAAGTTTGACATGGAGACTGACCCTCACGTAGTTTCCTCCCCCACCTCACTCCAAACCCCAAAGCTTCATAGGCAATTTCTCCCACCAACTGCTACCAAAGTCAGGTAAGTTCCTTTTTCTTTCCTTGTCTTCTATTGTCAGTGCTCCTCCCACGGTGATTGATGGGCAGTCTGGCAAAAGGACAGATGGAAAAATAGCTCTCAGTGGAGAACTGAAAGCCTAGTGGATAGATGAGCATTGAGAACACAGGTCCCAATAGCCGCTTTTCTGAACTTTCTGCCTTCAAGTTGAAAATATTTCTTACACCCTCTTAAAGCGGGCTTCCCCCGGCACCCTTGTCATCCGCCATTTCCCTAGGAAAGGCCGCCACACCCCTTTCCCTGCGCAGAAATTGGAGGGGGTGTGGAGAAAAGAAGGGGCCAGGAGAGGGCGACTCGGACTGGCAGGCAAGGATCACAGCCTTCTCTCCTCCCCAACTCCCACCGCCACCCCCACCCAGGGTCCAGGACCATCCCACCTTCACACCGACCTGCAGGGTCCCAAGGCAGTTTGCTCCTTCCGTTGCCGCGACTTTTGTGGCGACCTACGGGCCAACAGACAGACCTACAAGCCTGCAGACAGACAGGGGACCGAGGGGACGGAGTGCTTGGTAGACTGAGCAGCACTCGGGACATAAGTGCTCTGATTGTGGACCCTTTCTTTTTTCGGAGTCTCAGTTACAGCCATTCACTCCCCTCACCTCCGCCCGAAGTCCACCAATTCTCTACTAAAATGGGCACGGGGTGGGGGGTGGGGGGCAGTAGTATTTAAAAAGTAGGGGAGAAGGGGACACAATCCCAGTGGGCCCGGACTTGGGTCGGTGGCGCTTTTGGTCCTCTCCCACCCCCATCTCTGCCCAAGCAAAGCCCACACTCCCACCGACCTGCACGGTCCGGTCCGGGGCTAGTTTCCTCCTTCCTTCACACGTCTGAAGCTTAATAGGGGGCTGGTACCCAGACAGAGGCGACTAGCAGGACTTCAGCTCCAGGCAGCTCTTGGTCACGTGATGACCACGTCACCAGTGAGCTCTGGCCCCCAGTTTCCACTCCCAGAAGCAGTGCGGCAGGCGCCAGGCTGCCCCGTACCCCGCACCTCCCACACCACCCATCACACTGGGCCCTGTCACTCTTTTCTTCTATAACAATAGCAGAAACCAGAAGTAGCCATGGCTCTCTGGTGTTTGAATTTGCCTTTCTTTAATTACAGGAAGGGGCAGCTTCTTTTTCTGGGTCTACTGTTTACTTATACTTCTTGGAGAAATGTCTTATCCTTTCCTTGGCTCTGAAATTCCTGCCCCCCCTTAATTTCTACCCCTTCCCATATCCAGTCTCTGTACTAAAATTGGTGGTGGTGGTGGGGAGGGGGGGCGTAGAAAAGGAAGCCCAAGTAGTAGTGAAGTTTTTATTTGGATACATTTATGTTCTATTTCTTCATTCATTTTTTAATTCACCCAAGCTACATTATTTTGTAAACAGAAAATACAATAAAGTTATGTCCTTGGAGAAAAAATAATCCAAATTATACATACATACATATATATATATGATTTCCCAGTTAAATACATATGTACACAAGATTTCCCAGTTAATTGGGAGACCTCATTTATTTAGTTAGGTTAATTTGTAATGAAAATTTGTATTGAAAATATTTTTTTTCTGACTGCACAGGAAATAGCAGCTTTCAAACAGTATATTAAAATTTAAAAAAAACATATCCTTTCGAATAAAATCAGTGTGCTTTCGATATGATTTATAAACTAATGGATAGCATGAGTCTATAGTGAGGTGGTCAGTGTTTTAATTATGACCATTTTAGATAAGTAAACTGCTATCCCTTTCTTCTTCCTGGCTGACTTCATAATATTAGGCATCAAAATACTGAGATCTTCATAGAAGACTGCTAGATGACTTTCATTCTGGCTTCAAAGCACAGGCTTTATGCAGACCCCAAATTCAGATGAGTCATATATCTTCAGATGCACTTAAATTAGTAACCTCACAGATCAGCCCGTTTTTCATTCAAAGGTCTTTATTTAAAATCTATTCTGAAGTTGCATGGTGTAACCCATAAATCATCCAGAAATTAGAGAATGCCCTATTATCTCATTGATGAAAATGATACTCAAAGGATGGACTTTTCATTGAATCATGACGCTGGGGCGATATCTACGGTATCTGTCATCCGTGTGCTATGTCACTCTAGCAGTGGCTAGCGTTCAGCATCTTCCAGTGGAGATAATGGTGAGGGTCTGTGGGTGTTTGTAATTCACTGTAACACTCCTGAGATCCATGTCATTTTTCTCCCACAAAAAGCACAGTTTACAGGATCCAAGCAGTTGCCAGGAGAAAGAGGCCTTTTCATCCCCTGCCTTCTGTTGTACCACCCATACAAGCCCCTCAGAATAATCCCAGAACTCAGGAACAAAGTATGCAGAAGTTAGTCCCCCGACATCCAGCTGTCCCCACTGAGGAGTCATACTCTAAATATAGACACCTCTGGCAGCCTTTTTCTTAGAACATTGAAATATGACACCCCAGCAGGAAGCTCCCCCTGCCCCATGAGAGGCCCCTGTTGAGAGGAGGCCCTGTCAGGAGGAGAGCCAGGGAACCAAGAGTGCCTTGATGGTGAAGATTCAGGAAGTTCAAACTCACTCACCTATCATACCCCATCTGTCTAAACCCTTACCTCATTTGTTTCACCATCATTGCCTTATATCGTTCTTTTCCTCTACCTTTATTTTCTTATCCTAGAAAAATGAAATCTATTTATGAAGCCATACTATCAGAACTTGATGATACAACTGTCCATCATTCGATTTCTGGCTGCTAAATAGTTATATAAGTGGCTTTTATTTGTTTTGAATATATGCAAGAGACAGAACTAAGTAGTATGTAAAGCTTCAAAAAGCAAGGACAAAAACTCCACTCTTACCTCTCCTTATTAGTATAAAATAACTCCCCCTTTGGTATATATATTTTAATCATTCCAATGTATACCCCCTGACCACTATTTTCCCATCCTGCCAGACCTTCCCTGTTTGAATCCACTCTCTCTTTAAAACTTTCTAAACCTCATGGGAATGATAACCCTTTCGATTATCTTATTTCTTTGTCATCTTGATCTACAATTCCTGCCAAGGAACCTGGGGACTAGCATTTAAAATCCACTTTACTTTCCATTATACATTCACCAACAAATATTTATTTAAGGGAATGTTATTTGTCTGACATACTATTTCTTTTTTTTTAGTCTTTAATATCTTTTTTAAATTTATTTTTTTAATTGAAGAAATGATTTAAACTCCCCCCCTCCAATCTACTTCCTCCCTCTCCCCTACCCTTTGGTAACCACTAGTTCATTGTCCATGTCCATGAGTCTGTTTGTTTGTCCTGTTCATTTGTTGCTTTTAGGTTTGTATCCCACATATGAGTGATATTATGTGATTTTCAACTTTTTCTGACATTCCATTTCAAAAGCGAAAAGGAAAATCCTTAAGCAGTTCCTCAGACAAAGCTGTTAAAAGTTCCTGAGCATGCAAGAGACTAAGGGAAGCTACTGTCAAAAGGAACCTTTTGACCTAAATCAGTATGTGGTCATATGTGATATGTAATTTATAAAATATCCAAAACAAAAAAGAATCAGCAGATGGTAACACTAATGGAATTGTAAAAGGTGAGAAAAATAAACCATAAAATAAACCATGTTATCTTTTAAAGCTGTATTATTTTTTTGCATTTTGTTATTTGTTTTTGTATTGTGTATTAGCTGATTTGCTTGGTTGCAAGCAAGCAACAGAAACCAAACCTGTTGAACTTAAACAGTGAAGGGATGCTGAAGATCAGGGTCAGCTCTGAGAGTCTAGGTAGGGAGGAATTGATAGATAATATCATCAGGATGCCATAATTCCATTAATTTTCAGGTTTTTTTCTTATCATTGTTCAAGATTTAAATTTTAGTAAAAGAGTATTGAGTTGGTCTGTTTTGAATACAATGCCCATTCTTTTGCTGGGGGCAATGACAGGATATGTAAAATGTATAATGAAATTCCTTTCTTTTCCTAGAAATCTAAACCATTTTGGATGTTGTTGATTTGCTGGAGCCCTTTAATTACTTTGGATATTAATCCACTGTCCAGTTGTGACTAAAGTGCTGAGGGCCTATTTGCCACAGTATGTCTTAGTCGTAATTTTTACATTAACTGAACATTAGAGAGGTACAGTTCTGAAATAGTGATGCATAAGATTGTCTTCTAAGCTAAAGTTACTTAGCTTCCCTACCAGAATTCCACAGAGTTGCATCTACAATTCAAGATCTTGTCCTCTTACTGTATGAGCAACCCCTGATTTTGTCTGTTTCCTGAGAGCAGATGCCTCTGTCAAGGAAAGACCCCCATTCATAGAGACTTATATATAAATCTAGATCTGAATGCCCGAACCCATGAATCTCTGCATTCTCTCCCTGTAAGTAGGCCACAAGGGAAGCTAAGTCTGAACAGGAGTTACAACTGAATAATTTACCTTGAGAAATACATCTGTCAGGAGTACTGGAGGTTTCTGTCAGTTTTATCAGTCCACTCTTCTCCTGCAGGCAAGCTACACTTCAGAAACCTGGACCTCAGAAAGTTGCTTGGTGAGCCTGCAATCAGAGCAAGGATGTTGGATCACCTTAAGAAGTGGATTTCAGCTACGGAAGCTTGAAGGACTCTTACACATCATGGGAATGGCTTTGCCAAGGAAAGTTAAATGTTCCATTCACCTTAGCCAAGACTCCCTCTCCTCCAGACAGTGCTTGAGTGGGAACTATCAACACTTTCCTCTGACTCTCTTTCTCATATACTCTGCTTAAATAAGCCCCTTCAATGCATATGTTTCTCTAAACACAGAATCATATAGCTGATTTGATTTTCCTTTACTAAATTTCAGTCATTTCTTAGTACTGCTTCCCAGAAGTTACATTGATATGAATTTCCCCGGATTTTTTTCCTGTTCCCAAACTTGCAAGTCTCTTGATTTACTTCCACAATGTTTTAGGATTTAAAAAATTATACTCAGATAATAACCTTATATCCGAACTATTAGGGAATGTCCCACTCTAGACCCCAGGTTCTGACATTATTTTATTACTTTTCCCACTATAAAAAGTTCAGTCATTGCTAACAGGTGAATCATTGAATTCATCAAACCAGTTGGTGAAATGGTTTCACACTAATTGCTAGGTGCAAGTTCAGTCAATTTTGTCTTAGTCTCAGTGTTCCTTTAACACCTATTTCATTTAAAGATCATATTCTCGCTTTATACCTAAATATATTTTGTAATGTTCTTTGAATGCCACTCACTTTGTCAATGTGCATACCTCTTTATCCAACAGTTATCCATTATGCAGTGTGGTCTCTACTCAACCTTTTTCTATGTTAATGGCTTCTGAGGACCACATGCCTCTTCCTTGGTAACTGATGCAAGTGGAAGTCTGTAGCTCTTCTGTTTAGAAGACTGGCCTAGTCAGAAGTTCTATGCATTCTCAGACACACTGATTAGCTCATTCAGGGTTGTGTGATCTGCTAGGCCCGGAAAGACATTAAGAATGCTCTGAGTGAAGTGTGTGACACTCCCACAAGTGAGAAAATGTGGGGTTTTTGGAGGCCATCAACTCAACATCACTCTCCAATTCCAACTCTTTTTTTCCTCTCAAATGAAAATAGCTTTATACTATTTTTTTTCTCTCATAAAAAAGAATGCAGGCTGGAGGAGGGAGAGGGCAGAACAAAAAAGAACAAAAATGTATTTGGAAAGTAAAAGCCACACTCACGCTCCAGGTCTTCTTTTCTGATGGTTTCTTCCTTTCGGATCTGGGATTAGATTTCAGAGGAAATGGTAGACATTTATAGCTGGGAGGAGAGGAGTTGGAAGGAGAGAAGTCGCGGTCCCAGAAGCCTAGGGACTGCAAGACGCAATTTATCAAAAAGTGCAAGTGGCTAGTAGTCCCAGGGGGAAGATGCTGTCCCTTTCTGGTAGTCAAAGGAAGGTAAACACAACTACAGGAAGATGAGATTAGCTAAGAAACAGTAACAAGGCCTGATATGGGGGAGGGTATGGAGGGGGGCGGGTCCTCGTCTGCCGCACTGCTGGTGGGAGGGGAAATTGGGGACCAGAGTTGGTGGATGACGTAGATCTCACGTGACCAAGAGCTGACGTGTGCAGAAGTCCTTCTTGTTTAGGTCGTTGTTCCCGTCTGAGTACCAGCTCCTCATTGCCCTGAGGGCTAGCGAGCCTGCGGCACAGGGAAGGAGGAGGAGAAGGAAACTGTCCTGGATCCCTGCAGGTCAGTGCCTGGGAGATTCCATAAAGTGGGGGTGTTCGAGGGCGTAAGGCAGAGACCGTCGCGAGTCCTGAGGCGCCTTAGTCGTCTCTCCCATTCGCTGCCGGCTTTCCAAGACATCTGTCCTGCCTGCAGCCCATTCCGATGCTGCGAAATGGTGAGCAGGGAGGGCAGCCCAGAGATCGGGAGGTGGTAATCTGCTGGGAGCTGAGGCCTTAATACGGAAAGGGAGCTGTGGCCTGGGTGTTGGCCCCCAGTCCTCCAGGACAGTGCCGGCGGGGAAAACCTGGACGTGGGGGGAGGGTAGGGGTACAACGTTATGTGTCCTCAGAACCCCGATAGGGGTAATAGGGGTGGCAGACCTTTGACAACCAGGCCTCCAAATTAGGAAAGTTTCATGTTCCGGGGACTGGTTCGTCCACCAAGCATTCGGTAGTGGCGGTTTTCCGTCTTTCTGACTGTGGCTATGTCTTCCTGTCCATGGCTCTGTGTTTAGTGGGTCCGAACCTCTCCCAGGTTGCCAGTCTTTTCGTAGTTTGCAGCTCTACACTAGGCAAGTGAAGAGGAAGGAAATTAACCCGGATCGGTGAAGGTCGATTTGAGGGTAAGACCATTTGGGGACCCTAAGAGGGGCGGTGATGGGTGTGGGGAGAAACCAGAGATGGCAATAATTTAGGTTAGATTTGAGTCTGAGTGTGTTTGTCGCACTCTTGGGACTGTGGCGAAATGGCGTGCAGTGTATGTGTGTATGTGCGCGCGCGA